GCGGGCCAGGACCCCCCTCTGAGCCTTCATTTCCACCTGTAGAGTGGAGATAATAGTAGTGCCACCTGAAGGGGCTGCAGCGTGGATTAAAAGAGATGACCATGGGAAGCCTGGTACCTAGGAAGCGCTCAGCGAGGTCCGAGCTGTGCTTCTTATCCCCTGCTTGGAGGAGGAGGAATCTTGGGATAGGTGAGGCTGCCAAGTAGTTAGCGCCTGTTTGTAGCAGTCTCTAACCCCATTTCTGACAATGGGGAAGTCATCTGAGGTTCATATCCCTCTGCATCTCAACGGGAAAAAGACAAGGAAACTTCTGGGCTGAGATGGAGATGGCACTGACAGAGCAATGGTGAGAAGTCAGGGAGGAGGGAAGAGGAGCTCAGGTCAACTTGATCATTCTCCTGATGGAGGAACCGAGGCCCAGAGGGGACATGACTGGTCTAAGAGCATGCAGTTATGGAGTTTGAGTTGGAGTGAGCCGACTCTTCCTGTCAGTCCTCCTCCACTGTACTGAGTAAGGATGGCGATCACCACCATCATCACCATCACCATCATAATCACCATCATCACCATCACCATCATAATCACCATCACCACCATCACCATCATAATCACCATCACCACCACCACTACCATCATTGCCACCGTCATCACCATCACCATCATAATCACCATCACCACCACCACTACCATCATTGCCACCATCATCACCATCACCATCATAATCACCATCACCACCACCACCATCATCATTGCCACCATCATCACCATCACCATCATAATCACCATCACCACCACCACTACCATCATTGCCACCATCATCACCATCACCATCATAATCACCATCACCACCATCACCATCATAATCACCATCACCACCACCACTACCATCATTGCCACCGTCATCACCATCACCATCATAATCACCATCACCACCACCACTACCATCATTGCCACCATCATCACCATCACCATCATAATCACCATCACCACCATCACCATCATAATCACCATCACCACCACCACTACCATCATTGCCACCGTCATCACCATCACCATCATAATCACCATCACCACCACCACTACCATCATTGCCACCATCATCACCATCACCATCATAATCACCATCACCACCATCACCATCATAATCACCATCACCACCACCACTACCATCATTGCCACCGTCATCACCATCACCATCATAATCACCATCACCACCACCACTACCATCATTGCCACCATCATCACCATCACCATCATAATCACCATCACCACCATCACCATCATAATCACCATCACCACCACCACTACCATCATTGCCACCGTCATCACCATCACCATCATAATCACCATCACCACCACCACTACCATCATTGCCACCATCATCACCATCACCATCATAATCACCATCACCACCATCACCATCATAATCACCATCACCACCACCACTACCATCATTGCCACCATCATCACCATCACCATCATCACCATTAACATCATCACCACTATCATGATCACCACCATCATTGTCACCATCATATCATCATCACCATCACCATCATCATCATCACCATCATAATCACCATCACCACCACCACTACCATCATTGCCACCATCATCACCATCACCATCATAATCATCACCATCACCACCACCACTACCATCATTGCCACCATCATCACCATAACCATCACCACCACCACCATTGTCACCACCATCATCACCATCACCACCGTCACCACCATCATCACCATCATCATCACCACAATCATCACCATCATCATCACCACCATCACCACCATTGTCATCACCATGATCACCATCATCATTGCCACTGCCACCATCACCACCATCATTGTCATCATCATTATCATCATCATCATCATCATCACCACCATCCTCATTACCACCCACCATCACAATTCTTATCACCATCACCACCATCATCACCATCACTATTACTATCATCAGCAGCAGCAACATAAGGAACATTTGTTGAGACTCAGTTTTTTGGGTTTTTTTTTGTCCTTTTTGAGACTGGCCGCACCGCGCTCAGCCAGTGAGCACTGTGAGCGCACCGGTCATCCCTATATAGGATCTGAACCTGCAGCGGGAGCGCTGCTGCTCTCCCAGCGCCGCACTCTCCCGAGTGCGCCACGGGCTCGGCCCTGAGACTCAGTTTTTACAATGACCCGATGAGGCAGAGATTTTTAT